GTTTGGCCTCCTCAGGTCCTTGAGGACGGGGAGGATCCCACGGGGTTGCCCTCTTTCGATGCATGGGTAGAAGGTGCTCCTGTAGCTGAGCAGGAGCCTTCAACCACCCCGCCTAGCTCTCAGCCCGCCGTGGTACCGATCAGCTCGCCAGCCAGCGCATCTATCCCTGAGCCCGCCGGCCAATCTCCTCCAGCTCGCTCTCCTGCGGCTGCTGCCGATGCATCCATGCCCGTCGATCTGACGGACGACTAGGCTAAGGACTTCATGTTTCATTCTTTTGTACTTTTGTTTTGGCATTTTTGTATTTGATCAATAGATTCAGATCATATGTACTTCTAATGTAAAATCGTTGATGAAATACAAAAATGAATTTTCTTTTGAATCTTTGTTGCATTTGCTGTATATGTTTGTCTACAACTGTTGGATAACACCTTAAGCGACATAATATTACACATGTTAACTGTAAAACTTTCTAAGATTCTGTATGTTTCAAAGGTAAGGTAACTGACGCCCGTGTATATCTGCTAACACGTAAGAGCCAGGTCGCTTTACTCGAACCACCATGTAGGGGCCTTCCCAATTAGGAGCGAGCTTGCCCATGTGTGAATGAGTGTTAGTTAATCCGGCTTTATGTAGGACCAGGTCGCCAACTTGAAACTGGCGAGCTCGGACTCTTTTATTGTAAAATTTTGCAACACGATTTTGATGTGCCATGTTTCTTATTCTGGACATCTCCCTGATTTCTTCCACAAAATCTAGATTCTCTCTTAAGAGTTGTTCATTATTCTGATCGTCATGGCGATCTGCTCTGTCGGATGGCAATCCAACCTCCACTGGGATGACGGCCTCAGCTCCATAGGCCAGGCTAAAAGGGGTTTCGCCTGTGGCCGAGCTGGGTGTGGTGCGACATGACCAAAGCACTTTATTGAGCTCGTCAACCCAATTAGAATGTGCGGCCAGAACTCGTGCCTTGAGGCCTCGCAAGACGATTTTATTGGCGGACTCGGCTTGCCCATTGGACTGTGGAGTGTACACAGATGTCAAGGCGAGCTAAATACCGTAGTCGTTACAAAACGATCTCAGTGCAGCTACTCGGAATTGTGGCCCATTGTCAGCGATAATCCGCTTAGGTATGCGGAACCTGCACACAAATGAGCGAGCTGAGCTACAAATCGCATTTGCATTTGTTCTATTTGTAATCTCAGTCACCAAAGAATACCTGCACAATATTGAATTGAACAAGAATTCTTCTATTTTCCTTTCTGTTGTCGTGGACAGTGGTTTGGCCTCTATCCACTTTGTGAAATAATCCACTGCGACGACCAGGAAAGTGCAGCCTCCTTTGCCTTTGATAAAAGGGCCGAGCAGGTCGACACCCCATTGGGCAAAGGGCCAGGGGGACGTGAGAGATGATAGCATTTCCCCTGTTGCAAGGAGGATATTTATGTTTAGTTTATAGACAAACACTTAGTTTGCATGAACTTCGTAACGAGCTCGGATACCTGGCATGCGAATGTCATCAGCGTTGAACTGGCAGGTCGGACACTTTTTGACATAGTTCTGCGCGTCCTCGACCATAGTAGGCCAGTAATAACCATGCCTGAGGAGCTTCCGAGCTAAAGTTTTGCCACCGATGTGCGTGCCACATACTCCTTCGTAAATTTCTCTCACAGCGTATTCAGCTTCGTAAGGGGTAAGACAGCGTAATAGGGGCATTGAGGCTGCTCGCTTGTAGAGCTGGCTATCTAATAAAGTGAAATGTGCTGCCTTTCGTTTAATCAATTTCGCAGCGGACAGATCTTCGGGCAGCTCGCCACTTTGCAGATAGGTTATAAGTGGGGTAGTCCAGCTCGGTGTGGTGGGATCTGTGCTTAGTAGCTGACACTCGACCGTGAAATCAGTGTAGCTCGGAGCGTCCAGCACTTCGATGATGGTTGACCTTTGAGGGTTAAAGTCCCGCGAGGAGGCCAACCTTGACAGCTCGTCAGCTCGGTGGTTGTCAGCTCTTGGTATTTTGTCGATCTGGAATGAAGCAAATCTTAACTTCAATCTGTTGACCACAGAGGTGTAACGGCCAAGCTGGGGATCCCTAACTTCACAGCTGCCATTTACCTGGCCCACCACGAGCTGAGAATCACTGAAAATTTGTATGCTCTGTACCTTCAGCTCGGACGCCAGTTTCAAACCATAGATGAGGGCTTCATACTCAGCAGCATTATTGGTGGTCTGGAACTTAAACCGCAATGCGTGCTCAGATTTAAAGCCATCTGGGCCTAGCAACACAGCCCCAGCACCTGACCCTTCAATGTTAGCAGCTCCATCAACATACAGAACCCAGGCTGGGTGATCAAGTGCCTTGTCTACCTCCGTTGCCGAGATGCATTCTACCAGAAAGTCTGCAATGGCCTGGCCTTTTATGGTTGTGCGCGGCTGAAATTTGAGATCATACTCACTCAGCTCGATGCTCCATCCAATGAGCCGACCAGAGAGCTCCGGTTTTTGCAGTATCTTCCTCAACAGCAAATCGGTATAGACAACAATCTGATGTGATTGGAAGTAAGCTCTCAACTTGTGAGCTGTGTAAACTAGGGCAAAAGCGGCCTTTTCTGCTGTTGGGTAATTCTGCTCGGCGCCTTGTAAGACCTTGCTCACATAACAGATAGGCTTCTGGTTCTTGTTCTCTTCCCTGAGTAAGACCGAGCTAATCGCCTCTGTAGTAACCCCTAAATGCAAATACAAGCTCTCCCCCTCCACAGGCTTGGACAGCAGGGGCGCTGACGCCAAGTGTCGTTTGAGCTCGTCAAAGGCCTGCTGACACGCATCGGTCCATTGAAAGTTCTTGGGCTCTCTCAGGGCCTTGAAGAACGGGAGGCATCTTTCTGCCGACCTGGCTATAAACCTGTGCAACGCAGCAACACGGCCCGTCAAACGTTGCACGTCTTTGACAGTCCTTGGCGGCTCCATCTGCTGAACAGCCTCAACCTTCTCTGGGTTTACTTCAATTCCTTTCTTGGATACCACGTACCCTAGGAATTTCCCTGATTCCACAGCAAACGTGCATTTCAAGGGATTCAGTTTCATTTGAGCTCGACGCAAATTTTGAAATGTTTCGTCCAAGTCGTCAATGTGGTCCTCAGCTCGCACGCTAGTGACTATCATATCATCTACGTACACTTCTATGTTCCTGCCGATCTAGAGCTTAAAGATGATTTGCACCAGCTTCTGGTATGTTGCTCCAGCATTTTTTAAGCCAAAAGGCATCATGACATAGCAGTATAGTGCGTCGCCAGCGTAAAAAGCCGTTTTTTCCTGGTCTCTAGCAACAACTGGACCTGGTGGTAACCCGAGCTGGCGTCAAGGAAACTCATCCGTTCATGTCCTGCTGCCCGCTCTACTAACTTCTCGACGTTTGGCAAAGGATGAGGGTCTTTTGGGCACGCATCATTGAGGTTGGTGAAGTCAATACACATCCTCCACTTGCCATTTGGCTTTTTGACGAGCACAGGGTTGGACACCCATTCAGAATACTCCACTCTCCTGATGAAGCCTGCCTGTAACAACTTTTGTATCTCCTCGTCAATGGCAGCTTGCTTCTCAGGGCCAAAAAGGCGGCGTTTTTGAACCACTGGCCTTTTGGTGGGGTCC